GCAGATAACCAAGATGAGTATATAAAATATACAGCAATAACACTTTTCCCAAATAATGATGCATATAATAAAAGAATGTCAAGATATAGAAAATGATATCAAGGTAAAAAGGAACTACTTACTAGTATAGAAGATTTATATAATCTTTATTATGAGCTATCCAAAAAGGATCGGCTTATAACTAAAACAGAAATTGAAGAAGCTATTGAGGATATACTTATAGATGAGTAAATTATTATTTAAGCACCCACATGGGAGGAAGTTCAATTTTCTTAATCAATTGTAATTGCTCACGAACAAATTTTTTTTCTGGTCCACCTTCTAATTTATATATAACAGGTTTACCTTCACGAATTAAAGTACTTTCAATCCGATAAACCTGATGAGACCAATTTTTATCTGTAATCCGTTTTATAGGTGGACCATATTCTAATTCACCAGGTTTAAATAAATATCAAACAAAATCTTTATAAAACAAACGTGGTTCTTCAAATCCAACAGGTCTTCTATGTTTTACTGCTGGCTCTGCAAATATTTTTTTACCTTTTAATGCTCTTTTTATAGCCTCATTAGGAGTCATATGTATTAATCCAGTAACAGTATTATTAAAAGTATCATTATTTATGTGAAGGCCTTTAACCCAAGCTCTACATCTCTCAGTTAATGGTAAATGAAAATCCACAGCATTTTGTCTATAAAAAGCATGTTTTTCAAATTCTTGATGATCACGTTTAGCAATAGCTACACTACATTTAGAGTTAGCATACTGAATTTTTACACCATGGCTAAGTAATAAATCTCTACACTCACCCAAAAATTCTATATCTCTATCAATGATTAAAACATTTGGCCAAATAAGAGGGCAATTTGGGTTATCATAAATTTTTTGAAACGCTTTAGCCACTTGTGCAGAAGATTTATTAGTTAAAGCAAAACTACAACGAAACCTAGTAGCTACATCTTTTATTACAAGCCTATGTTTATAAATTCGATTACCTACTTTATTATGAGGCATAGGAGTAGTATCGGATTGATGTACATTATTTAGATCTTGTATATCATTAAAAGAAGCATACTGAATAAACTTTGGTCAAGGCTTGTGAATTTGATGCAAAGCTTGTTTGTTTAACCAATTTTTAATCTCAATAAGAGAAAACCTATATTTGGCTTTCTTGCAAGCATCCAATATTTTTTCAACAGTTCGATAATAGCCCTCAGGTTGGTAATAGAGCTTCTGCAAAGTAAGATCCCGGTCAATATCATGTACTTTCTGAGGATCGATATAAATAACTAGTTCCCCCATTTCAATTCTCTTTTATATATTTACCAATTTCTGGATCATATAAATTATAGTAAATAAAAAATATGGAGGAATTACAACAAAGTAATCAAGAACTCCACGAGGTAGTATCGCAATTAGCTGAATCAAATAGAAATTTTGAACAACGTCTATATACCTTAGAAAGAGTTATAGGTATACGAGAAGAAAGGATACGATATCTTGAAGAAGAGTTAAATAAAGCTATTGAACTATCTACACAAGACAAAAAAGAATTGTTAGAAGAAATCTTAAAACTAAAAAGAATCGTTCATCAGCTCGAAGAAGAAAATAAAAAGAAAGACAAGGAAATCTCAAATAAGGATAAGTTAATATCAGAATTCGATGAACGTGAAACAAAATTAAAAACCAGAATACGAGAAATATCAAAATCAGCTGGAAATACACCTAAAGCACAAGATTATACAACCAGATTAGTGGATAAGAATGAACGGCTTAAACGAGAAATAAATATGGTAAGAACTAATCAAATAAATAGAATCAACAAAATAACCCAGCAAAAAAATCGTATTACTGACCTTTTTTGTCAGAATTTTGCTTTAGTATTATTAAGATACCGAGATAGATTAGAACTTATAAATACTAGAGAGGCTTTGCAAAATGCAGAAGTACAGAACTTTAATGAAAATGATTCTGACCCTGATGAAAATTCTTTAGATATTTATAATCAAACTTTAGATATGACTACAATAGCTGAGTTAGCTGATGCTATAGATGACTATTTAAATAATACAGCATCAAGTAGAACGATTTTGTCAAACCAAATAAAAAAAGCAACAAGATCAATTCGCCGAAAGTTTGCCAATCTGCAACAGGATCTTGTAAATGAGCAATGGAACTCTTATTATTATATGCAAGAGCGTGATCAATATATGCAAGAGCGTGATCAATATATGCAAGAGCGTGATCAATATATGCAAGAGCGTGATCAATATATGCAAGAGCAAGACCAAGCATGGTAACAATTGCAACAATGCCAGGCCGACTTAGATCTTTGTGAATATAATCAAGACCGGATTTATAATAGATATTACAATAAATGGAAAAACTGAAAAGCAAGCCATATTAAATGGAAAAATAGAGAGCATAATTTACAGCAAATAATTTTGAATTTACAGCAACAAAATTTATTGCTACAGAATAATCCACTAAATATGGCGGAAGCAAGACGTTTATCTATATTGAAATATGTATCTACTCTTTTAAATCTGATTCCTCAATATTTTGATCAAATGCCCCCTAATAATTACTGTGATATGATTATACAAGCATGGGCTCCTGCTATACCAAATATGACAGCTCTTGAAGGTGCAAATGCTGGAGATTTTGATAATACTATCAAAGTCGAAATTATGAAGGGTAAGATGGCAGGAAAATATGCTCCAGTACCAGCTCTGTAAATCCTGCAGTTAATATCGATAGTTCAGATACAATATGAGTATGGTTAAATGAAAAATATCAACGAGAAACAATTGGAACTAAGAATTCAGCTATTCAGAGATTGAGTCAAGAAAGATTCTAATCTTATGATACACCAGATACGTATGAAGCCAGAATCCGTCCACTTATATTAGGTGTAGCAAATAATGATGCCTATGTCTTAGGGACTCTTAAGACTCATTTATCAGGAGATTGTGAGCTTTATAGTTGGATGAGAAATGAAAATATAGCGGGTATTAATGAATTTTTCATTATATTGAAAAATATGTGGCTCGAACGTTCTAGTTTAAATGAAGGGCAAAATTTCGATCAAGCACAACCAAAGAAAAAATTATTAGTGAAGCAAAATGATAGTATTATATCACAACCTGTATTCCCTTCATATGATGAAATGCAAAAATCCTTCCAAGCTATGATGGAAAAACAGAAGATTGAATCCAAAGCTGAGATTGAAAAACAGAAAGCCGAAATTGAAAAATTGAAAGCCGAATTTGAAACAAAAATGACTCAACAATCCAAAAAATCTCGCTCTCCAGTTCCACCCAAAGATTATGAACAAATGCAAGAATTCTATGAAGGTCAAGGTGATTCTAGATGGAAAGATATTAGTAGAGAAGAAGCACTACAGTAGTTAGATAAAGCTTTCCCTCCTCCCATACCAACTAAACCAGAACGATTGCATTTGTCAAATCAAAATGCTAGAATAGATAGAATAGAATCGAAAGTAGATGAAATCGGTCAAATGACATCTCAATTCAGGAAGATGATGCTTGATAACAAAAAACCCGTAGCTAAATCAAATTCAACATATCGATACTTTCCTCCTCAAATACCTTCCCAATCCCAATATGCATCTCCTAATTCAGATGATAATGAGGATGAAGAAAGTGGATATAACGAGAAAGAGAATAAATAATATGCTCCATCTTAGTCAGAAAAAAAAAACAGGTACCGGTAAATGAAAAAATGCTTCCAGAACTTAGTCAGCCTGAAATGTACGATGAACTATTACCAAAGCTTTCACCGGCAATACGTAAAATGTGTCAATCTTATCCCTTAAATTGTAACACAGGCAAATTTGCCTGTGTTTTTATTAAAAAATTTAATTTTTTTAATAAAAACTTATA